GAAGGAAAGGAGGGAGGGGAAGGGAAGGAGGGAGAGAGGGAGGGGGGACGGGGAGAGAAAGAAGGGAGGGGAGGGAGGGAGGAAAGGAAAAAGGGAGGGAGGAAAGGAAGGAAGGAAGGAAGGAAGGAAGGAAGAAAAAGGGAAGGGAAGGAAGGAACAAGTAGCACAGGAAGTTGGGAAAGGAGGTAGACCTCACTTGCGGAAGTTCAAGTGAGAAGTATTGTGAGTGAGAAACAGGAAATGAAAGCAGTCAAATCCATGTGCAACATAATGCCAGAAACCACCAGCACCCAGGAACTCCTTGCAATGGCTTCTTTGTGGAGGGAAGTTAGGCTGGGACCTCTAAGGAGGTGGAGGGTGTCATCGGCAGTGCGGGCAGGCTGCTTAGAAGGGCTCTGATGCCTCCAAGAAGGCTATGTCAATAATTGGCCATGGAAATCTGGAATTATGTGCCACCCTTCAGTTTGCTCTGTCCTGTTTCCCTGGCCTGCCATCAGCCTGTGAGTGACATGCAGTGGTGTCTAATTGTGGCACTTACCCCTTCTCTGTCCTGCCACCCAGGAAGGGCGGGAGCTGACTCTGGAGAAGCCAGAGCTGAAAGCTTTGGTGTCGGAGAAGCTGGAAGACCTGCACAAGCGCTGGGATGAGCTGGAGACCACCACCCAGGCCAAGGCCCGCAGCCTCTTTGACGCCAACAGGGCCGAGCTGTTTTCCCAGAGCTGCTCCGCCCTGGAGAGCTGGCTGGAGAGCCTGCAGGCCCAGCTGCACTCCGACGACTACGGCAAGGACCTCACCAGTGTCAACATCCTGCTTAAGAAGCAGCAGGTAGGTTAGGTGCGGGAAGAAGAATGGAAGGAGAAGGGAAAAAGAAAGACGTTTCCTCAAGAGCCTAAGTCATCCTAAGGTTGTCCGAACGCCTGGCAGGTGACATGTTTCGTTATTTTTTTTATTTCTATTTTCTTATAAAGGTGCTGTACAGAGAGGTTATAGTTACATCAGTGTTTTGTTATTTCTCATAATGATTTCTGTGCATCAATCTCCAGGGGTTATAGGAGATAAACTATAGGAACTGTTTGAACAGAGAAACTAGTAGAAAATATTCATTAGTAAAAACTACCAAAGGTATGATTCTGTTGCTATAACAGTAACATGAAACTGGGTGATTATAAAGAATAGATTTGCTCCAGCATGGTGCTGATATTTTCCTGGTTTCCGGTGAGGGTCTTGTGTCATAACATGGTAGAAAGCAGGGGGAAGTGAGCACACGTGGCACAGGCTAAATATAAAAGCAGCCTCACTTCATAACAACCTGCTCTTAGGGTCACTAATCCAGTCTCACGAGATCTCCATTAATCCCTCTTAGTGACCCAATCACCCTTTAAAGATCCCGCCCCCTCTCCACACTGTTTTACCTTGGGGACCACGTTCCAACTTAAATTTTGGAGGGGACAAACCACTTCCAAACTCTGGCAAGTGTGAAGAGAATTCTACATCAGGAGTCAGAAAACTTTTTTCTGCAACCGGGTGGAATAGTGAATAATTTGGGCTTTGTGGATCATATAGTAGTCTCTATTACAGCTCTTCTGTAGAGTTAAAAAAAACAGCCATAGACACAAAATAGGAGTGGACCTATATTCCTATACAATGTCATTTACAAGAAAGGCAGTGGGCTGTATTTGCCAACCCCTGCTCTTAAGAATCCTGGAATAGGCCCAGTGCTGGTGGCTCATGCCTGTAATCCTAGCTACAAAGGAGGCTGAGATCTGAGGACCACAGCTCAAAGCCAGCCCGGACAGGAAAGTCCATGAGACTCTTATCTCCAATAAACCAACAGAAAACCAGAAGTGGTGCTGTGGCTCAAGTGGTAGAGCACTAGCCTTAAGCTGAAGAGATGAGGGAAGTGCCCAGGCCCAGAGTTCAGGCCCTACAACCAACAGAAGAAAAAAAAAATCCTGGAATAGCAAATGTAGCAGGAATATGGACAGCGCTCTGGAGGAATACCCAAGGAGGAATGTGGTAACTTAGGCCTTGTTGAAGAGGGCAAAAAGAAATTGCCAGAACAGATCTGCAGCTGGTGATCTAAGGCAGGAAGCCTCCTCTGGAGGGCCAGTAAAGCCTGCTGCGGGGAAGCGCCCCTGGGTTCTGGCACAGTAGAGCAGGAAGAAATAAAAGCCAGTCTTCTGCCATGCTGTGTTACTCCTCCGTCTCCCTCTGCTGGCAAGGGGTGGCATTGCACTAGCGGGGAAAGGAGAGGTTACAGGGTCCAATTCCAACATCTCAAAGCAGCGCAGGGATGAATTGGGGACGGAGGGACAATGGATTCACAATGGCACAGTTACGCACAACCTTGGATTCTGGTATATACAAAAAGTTTGAGATCCACCCATCCAGGACATGAGGGGATGCTCTCCCTGGCTTGAGTTCTGGAGATAAGAAATCATGATTGGCAAGCCAGGCACTCATGGCTCATGCCTGTAATCCCAACTCCTCAGGATGCTGAGATCTAAGGATCACAGTTCAAAGCCATCCCAGGCAGGAAAGCCCTTGAAACTCTTATCGCCAATAAAATACTCAGAAAAAGCCAGAAGTAGTGCTGTGGCTCAAACAGTAGAGCACTAGCCTTGAGCACAAAGAGACTCAGGGACAGCACCCAAACTCTGAGTTCAAGCCCCAGGACTGGCAGGAGAAAAAAAAAAGAGAGTGAGAAAGAGAAATTGTGGTTGACTTGATAGAAACTAGCATCTCAGAGCGTGAGGTAGAACTGCAATGCTGGTGTCCTTTTCCTCCGGGTTTGCAGATGCTGGAGCGGGAGATGGCGGTGAGAGAGAAGGAGGTAGAGGCCATCCAGGCCCAGGCGAAGGCACTGGCCCAGGAGGACAAGGGGGCAGGGGAGGTGGAGAGGACCTCAAGGGCCGTGGAGGAGAAGTTCAGAGCACTCTGCCAGCCCATGAAGGAACGCTGCCAGCGCCTCCAGGCCTCTCGCGAGCAGCACCAGTTCCACCGGGACGTGGAGGATGAGATCGTGAGTCACGGATTCACCTCGACCCTGGCACTGATACTCAGGGAAGCCCTGTAGGTCCCCTGTACCCCAGAGTCAGATGACCATTCCCTACACACACCCGTGGCCCCTACCACCACCACCCCCCAGCCTTGGGCCCCGGTGCTGACCGTGTACCTCTTGACTCCTTTCTCATCTAGTTGTGGGTGACTGAGCGGCTGCCCACGGCCAGCTCCAGGGAGCACGGCAAGGACCTGCCCAGCGTCCAGCTTCTCATGAAGAAAAACCAGGTGAGGCAGAGGCGAAGGGCAAAAGCAAAGTCCCCAAGAACCTCCCACTCTTGGACAGTGTGTTTTCCTGAGATGGCCTTGTTTTCTGACCCACCTGGAGGCCCCAGACTTGAGCAGCGTGCCTCTGTTCCCACACTGGGGGTGGGGGTGGCTCTTCTGGCAGGGTCAGGGTGAGGACTGAGGGGCATCGGCAGCAGGGCATGCATTCCTGGGCCAGGTGAGGGCGGGCCAAGGGTCCCCTTGGCAAGCCTTTCAGGGTGTCCTCCTCTGTGGCTGGGTCCAGACCCTGCAGAAAGAGATCCAGGGCCACGAGCCCCGGATTGCAGACCTCAAGGAGCGGCAGCGTGCACTGGGGGCAGCCGCCGCTGGCCCAGAGCTGGCTCAGCTCCAGGAAATGTGGAAACGCCTGGGCCATGAGCTGGAGCTTCGGGGCAAGCGACTGGAGGAGGCTCTGCGGGCCCAGCAGTTCTACCGCGATGCCGCCGAGGCCGAGGCCTGGATGGGTGAGCAGGAGTTACACATGATGGGCCAGGAGAATGCCAAGGTGAGAGCCAGGGTGCATCGGGTCTGGGTGGCTTGATTTCTCCCTCTCCCAGTCCCTGCTGCCTCATGCCCAGTGTCTCCTCTCCCAGGACGAGCTGAGTGCCCAGGCAGAGGTGAAGAAACATCAGGTGTTAGAGCAAGCTCTGGCTGACTATGCCCAGACCATCCACCAGCTCGCAGCCAGCAGTCAGGACATGATTGACCACGACCACCCAGAGAAGTGAGTGCACAGCGGCCAGGGCGCCCACCCCTGGGGAGAGGGAACAACTTCTCTGGAAGATAGAGGGTCTGTAGCATCTTTCACACTGTGTGGACAGAACATTCTAGAAAGTTAGAGAAGCAAGAAAGAGTTGGAAACCTATGAACAGGCTGGGCATGATGGCAATGTCTCCTAAGCCTGGTGGTGACTTCCCCTGCCCCCTCTGCAGCACTCGGATATCGATCCGCCAGGCCCAGGTGGACAAGCTGTATGCTAGCCTGAAGGAGCTGGCAGGAGAGCGGCGCGAGCGCCTGCAGGAGCACCTGCGGCTCTGCCAGCTGCGCCGCGAGCTGGATGACCTGGAGCAGTGGATCCAGGAGCGTGAGGTGGTGGCGGCCTCACACGAGCTGGGCCAGGACTACGAGCATGTGACTGTGAGTGCGGATGAGCATGGCGGGGGGGGGGGGGGGCAAGAGGGGGGGACCCACAGGGAGACCAGGACCTCAGCCTGGGCTGAGCACCATGGGCCAAGGGTGTGGAGAGACCGGGCAGGCACTGTCCTCCTGGGCCTGAGGCATATCATTCAAAGAATCGTGCAGAAGTGGAGACATGGGGCCCCCTGTAGAGGAGAAAGGAAATTTGTTAACAATCCATTCAGTAGGCCTCCACAAAACACAGGGGCGTTTAGATCCCCCTCTGTAGTTTGGGGGTTTGGACCCTCATGGGTGCAGAAATGCAGACCATGTTGAGGGAGGGTTTCTTGTCTGAAAGCTGGAGCCCCCAGAGGGGCGTCAGGCAAATACAAGCATGTACTGCAAACAGGCCACGGGGTCACGGTGGTCACCTAGTGCCACCCACTCCCCATGGAGTTAATGCTAATGCTAAATGACACATTCGGGACAGTGGGCAAGGTAGAGGAAGGAAGTCTGTCTTCCCTGAAGGTCACCCACCAAGGTCACATCCTTGTTCCTACCACTGCTTCTTCCTCCAGATGCTTCGGGACAAATTCCGGGAGTTCTCTCGGGACACGAGCACCATCGGTCAGGAGCGCGTAGATGGCGCCAACACGCTGGCCAACGGGCTCATCGCGGGAGGCCACGCCGCTCGGGCCACGGTGGCAGAGTGGAAGGACAGCCTCAACGAGTCCTGGGCTGACCTCCTCGAGCTGCTGGACACGCGGGGGCAGGTGCTGGCCGCCGCCTACGAGCTGCAGCGCTTCCTGCATGGGGCTCGCCAAGCCCTGGCCCGGGTGCAGCACAAGCAGCAGCAGCTTCCTGACGGGACCGGCCGCGACCTCAACGCGGCCGAGGCACTGCAGCGCCGGCACTGTGCCTACGAGCACGACATCCAGGCCCTCAGCGCGCAGGTGCGACTCTGCCAGGGGTGAGGGAGGCACCACCCAGGGGCTGGGGGGGGATGGGGAGCTAGAGCCGAGATCAGAGGGGAAGGTACCCTGGAGGGGTGTTTAGCGATAAAGTGAGAACCACCCCACAAGATCTCTTCCACATTCATGCTTTTCTATTATCATCGCCCTGGGGTTTCAACACAGTACTCTGAGATTTGCAAGGCAGGTACGCTACAGCCCACCTCCCACTGGTTTTGCTCAGGGCGGGCGCTCTACCACTTGAGCCACAGCGCCACTTCTGACTTTTTCTGCTTATGTGGTGCTGAGGAACTGAACCTAGGGCTTCATGCATGCAAGGCAAGCGCTCTACCACTGAGCCACCTTCCCAGCCCACACTTTTTTTTTGTTCCTGCCTTGCTTACTTTTTCTCTGATGATGATGATGTTGTTGTACAAAGAGGTTACAGTTCCACCAGTCAGGTTGTAAGTACAATGCTTCTTGATCAGTGCTGCCCTTCCATCATTTCCCCCCATTTTTCCTCCTTCCATCCCCCCCTTCAAGTTACAGAATTTTTTACAGTGTACATCGAAAGACTACCTTTGCTAACCCTTTCTCCCTCCATTCCTGTGCCTCCCCCTAAAAATTTCCAGTTTGTGACACTTTTTTCCTTTTGTTGGTAATAGGGCTTGAACTCTGGGCCTGGGCGCTGTCCCTGAGCTCTTCAGCACAAAGTGAGCGCTCTACCACTCTAACTACAGCGCCACTTCCAGTTTTCTGGTGGTTTATTGTAGTAAGAGTCTCACAGATTTTCCTGCCCGGACTGGCTTTGAACCATGATCCTCAGGTCTCAGCCTCCTGAGTAGCTAGGATTACAGGCGTGAGCCACCAGCGCCCAGCTGCATTCACACTTTTAATGACAACCTTCCTTGAAGACACATGCGCTGTGAAGTGTGCACAACGGCTAGAAGATATTAGATGTTTTACTGAAGTTTACCTATCAGTGTCACGCGGGCTAGAGCTCCAGACTCAATAACAGAAATGCCAATCTTTCCTCCACCCCGTATCCCCCGCCACTTCTTCAGGTTCATTCTAGCAATCCTCCCTGTCCAGCCCCGCTGGCCTGTGATCCTTCCGAGACCCATCCCCCAGCTGAACCCCAACAAGGCAGAATAGAGTGGCCCACCACGTGGCTACCATTCCCAACCCTCCACCTTCGCTTCTCCTCCTCCTCGAGCTGGTGAATCGGGCAGGAGGTGGACAGCGGCGGCCAGGGCTGCAGGAGGCTGCGGCCGTGGAGTCTCCCCGCTTCCCTGCACTGCCTCACTCCGGCCGGTGACTCCGTAGGTCCAGCAAGTGCAGGACGATGGCCTCCGGCTCCAGAAGGCCTATGCCGGAGACAAGGCCGAGGAGATTGGCCGCCACATGCAGGCCGTGGCCGAGGCCTGGGCCCAGCTCCAGGGAAGCTCTGCTGCCCGCCGCCAGTTGCTGCTGGACACCACGGACAAGTTCCGCTTCTTCAAGGCCGTCCGGGAGCTGATGCTGTGGATGGATGGGGTTAACCTGCAGATGGACGCCCAGGAGCGGCCACGGTGAGACCCAGGGTGCCCAGAAGCCTCCCCAGCGGCAGGCCCTGGGGGCAGCACGTGATGCTGTTTCTGCCTTCCCCAGGGATGTGTCTTCTGCAGATCTAGTCATCAAGAACCAACAAGGCATCAAAGCCGAGATCGAGGCCAGAGCGGACTGCTTCTCCTCCTGCATCAACATGGGGCAGGAGCTGCTGTCCCGGAGCCACTATGCAGCCGAGGAGGTGGGTGAGGCCCGGCAGGCCGCACGCACGCACACACGCACACACGCAGCATGGCTCGGTGCTGAGTTTTCTTGAGTCCTTCTGCTGCTTATGCTTTAGCAAGAACTCTTCCACTGTCTGCCCCGAGTGCTATGGAGAGATTTCCCACATCCCATTCCCGCCCCCCCTCCGCCCCCGAACTATCTTCTTGATGTCAGAAATGCCTAGTCTCCCCAGTGATACCCTGGGGACCCTGGAAAAGCCCGGCTGGGTGCTGAGACATGTTCCCCCCCGCCCGCAGATCTCGGAGAAGCTGTCTCAGCTACAGGCCCGGCGCCAGGAGACAGCTAACAAGTGGCAGGAGAAGATGGACTGGCTGCAGCTCGGTGAGCGCTGTGGGGGCACAGGTCCTGGACGGAGGGGCTGCCATCCCCTTCTGACAGTTGCCAGTGGGTGAGACCAGGAACCCTGGAGGTCGAATTCCAGGGGCACACCCTTAGTACCACCAGGCAGGGCTCTGGGGCAGTGGCTTTCTCTTGTGCCCCTCTGGGGCTTGAACCCTGAGTGTTTGTGCTCAATGCTAGTACTCTATCATTTGAGCCACAACTCTGTTGGATGGAGTCTCGAGGATATAAGACATGGACATAAGAGTCTCGAGGCCCTTCCTGCCCAGGCTGGCTTTGAACTAAGATCCTCAGATCTCAGCCTCCTGAGTAGCTAGGATTACAGGCATGAGCCGGTGCACCGCTCCTTGTCCCTCTTCTTGCGGTGGCTATTGTGCCCTGCCCGTGCCCATCGTGACCTGCCATCTCTGCCACCCCACATCCCATCCTATTAGTTTTGGAGGTGCTTGTGTTTGGGAGAGACGCAGGGATGGCGGAGGCCTGGCTGTGCAGCCAAGAGCCGCTGGTCCGAAGTGCGGAGCTGGGCTGTACGGTGGACGAAGTGGAGAGCCTCATCAAGCGGCATGAAGCCTTCCAGAAGTCAGCAGTGGCCTGGGAGGAGCGCTTCAGCGCGCTGGAGAAGCTCACTGCGGTGAGGGGCCCCGGCCTCCGCGCCCCATCCTCCCCCGCCAGGCCTGCGCTGCCTGCGCTCAGAGAAGACACTTGTCTCTCCACTGTGCCAGCATCTCTGGTGTGAGCCAAGAGCACCCCACTCTTCCCCCTGGGGGATGCTAAGATCCCACATCCGCCATTGCTTTTCCTCCCTACCGTCTTCTGATGTCAAACATCTTGGCTTTCCCCTCTCCTTGCTCTCCTTAAGAAGGCCTCCATCTTGACCTCAGCATCTCTTGGCAGCTGGAGGAGCGGGAGAAAGAGCGGAAGAGAAAGGAGGAGGAGGAGGAGCGGAGGAAGCAGCCGCCTGCTCCAGAGCCCAAAGGGGAGCTGGTGGACGGCCAGACAGCTCCTAATGCATCCTGGGACGGGTGAGAGCGGGGACAGCCGGGCCGGGGGACGGGGCTGAGCCCAAGCACAGCCAGGAACCAATTCTTCCATGTCACCTCTGGCCATTCCAGAACCCAGCCTCAGCTGCCACCGTTGACACAGGCGCCCAGCGTGAACGGGGTCTGCACGGACTCAGAGTCCTCGCAGGTAAGCCTGGGCCTGGCGTCCACACAGAACCCACTCCCCTGCAGCTTCTCACGGCCTCTTGTCTTTGCAGCCCCTGTTGGAACAACAGAGACTCGAACAGAGCAGCTTCTCAGAAGGGCCCGTGAGTCCCCCTAGAGGGGTGGAGGACTGGGGGGGAGACTGAGGGTGGGAGAGGGCAGATTCCAAGAGAACTCAGGACCATAGAGCTTTCCATCCCCAAGACAAGGCCCCTCCCGTGCCCCCCTCCCCCGACACTGGTGCTTTTTCCCCCCACAGGGGCCGGGTGCAGGGGATGAGGCCGGTGGGCCTCGGGGAGAGAGGCAGGCGCGGCCCCGGGGTGCGGCCCCTTCTGCAGTGCCCCAGAGCAGGTCCTCTGAGTCAGCCCACGTGGCCACCTTGCCCGCCCGAGGCCCAGAGCTGTCTGCCCAGGAGCAGATGGAGGGGATGCTGTGTCGCAAGCAGGAGATGGAGGCCCCCAACAAGAAGGCCGCCAACAGGTACTAGGCCTGGCCAGGTGTGCCTGCCTGTCAGGCAGCCTCCCCTAGTCTCGTCCTAGATTGGCGCGGGGGGAGGGGCGTGGAGAGGGGCGCAAGGGAGAATGTTTGCACAAATGTGTCCTCTGGGAAATGGAGGGGCGGGCCTCAGGGGAGGCCAGAAGGGTAGACAAGAGTAGAGCCAGGTGTCATGGCTCACACTTGAATCTCAGCTATTTTGGAGGCCAAGGTGAACTGTTAGGTTCCACAACACCCAAAGGAGCCCTAAGTTATGGCCCCACCTAGGCCAGCCAGTCCAGCAGCCCATGGGTCTTCTGACCCTGTGTCTCTCCCAGGTCCTGGCAGAACGTGTACTGTGTCCTGCGGCGTGGGAGCCTTGGGTTTTACAAGGATGCCAAGGCGGCCAGCGCGGGAGTGCCATACCACGGAGAAGTGCCTGTCAGTCTGGCCAAGGCCCAGGGCAGTGTGGCCTTTGATTACCGGAAGCGCAAACACGTCTTCAAGCTGGGGTAGGAATGGAGGGTACTGCCCCGATGGGATGGGGCTGGGGGGGGGGGGAGTTGGGGGGTTGGGGATAGTGCAGGGTGGGCCAGGAGTGAGGTCCAGAGGGACTGATGTGGAAGGAGTGTGGGTAATGGCGTTGCCGAACCAGGTGTGCAAAGACACCTGTGGCTGAGGGCGGCACGCTCCTGGTTGTGGTGCACCTGAGGGGGAGCAGCAGGCTGAAAGGTTGTCCTGGGTGGGAATAGGAGGGCCTGTGTCCGCCACCAAGCAGCCCCCTGGCTGGAAGTGAGCTCACGCTGCGGCCAATCAGAAAGGATTTGCTTTTGCATAAATCTTCCGGGCCCCCAGGGAGCACTGGGGCAGCCCTGACCTGCTGAGCGCAGATTCTCAGCTCTGCCTTCTCCCAACAGCTTACCAGATGGAAAAGAATATTTATTCCAGGCCAAGGATGAGGTGAGCTGTCCCCTGCTCCCCCGTTTCTTTCCATCAGGGCCATCCTTGGGGTTCCCCAATAACAGACTCCCTTCTTCCTCTCCTCTTCCTCCTCTTCTCTGGCAGTACCGGGGTTTGAACTCAGGGTCTCACTTGCTAGGAAGGCATTCCATCAGTCGAGCCATCATTTCCCCCTCCTTGCTGTAGGTGTTCTTTTGGATGGGATCTTGTGCTGACCTGGCCCATGGTCCCTTCTAGCTGGGGTGACAAGCGCACACCACAGCACTCGGCTTTCTGTTGGTTGAGATGTGGGGTCCCGTGAACGTGTTGCCTAGGCTGGACTCACACTGCAGTCCTCTTGACTCGCCCCGAGCGGTGGACTAGCCAGGCGTACAGGAGGGAGCTACGGTGCCCAGCTCCCCAGCTTGTTCTCACCTCTCTGCTGCTCCTAGCAGGACAGCCCCCAGTTACCAGCTGGCTGTGTGTGCTGGGCCCGTGGCACTCTTTTCCTCTGTGGGTGTGGGCTGAGCAGGGGCGGCGCAGGGGGAAGCTGAAGCTGCTCTCCCTGCCTCCCTTCTACCCCCGCAGGCCGAGATGAGCTCGTGGCTGCGGGTGGTGAACGCAGCCATTGCCAGCGCATCCTCAGCCTCTGGAGAGCCGGAAGAGCCAGCGGTGCCCAGTGCCACCCGCGGCATGACCCGGGCCATGACCATGCCCCCCGTGTCGCAGCCCGAGGGCTCCGTCGTGCTCCGCAGCAAGGACGGCAGAGAACGAGAGCGGGAAAAACGCTTCAGCTTTTTCAAAAAGAACAAGTAGTTGAGGGGTGCGCACGCGCTGGCGCTCTCCCCCTCTCTCCGTTCAGGAAACTGCCAGGGACCCCGGCAGGGAGGACGGGAGCTCCCGCCGGTCAGGACACTGCCTGCTGCTAGGGGCTGCTGCCCAGGCCAGCCCGTCACCAGGAACTGCCACTGGGGACCGGCCGGTGTCCCCCACAACCTGCTCTTCTGCTATTGAATTCCAGACCGGTGGTGGGACCCAGGCAAGCCCCGATTTCCACCTCCTCCATGTTCCTCCTCCCCAGCCGTGTGCCTCCATCCCCGACCGACCGCGGTGCAGCGGACCCTCCGGACCCTCCACACGGCCATGCGCACATGGCCGCCCCGCCTCAGGGTCGCCCTCCCGCCACAGCTAGGGCCCGCCATCCGCCATCCCGGGGACCAGCCAGGAACCTCTCAGAGCTGAAGCAGGACCCGGGGTTCGGAGCGCCCGCCCGCTGAGGGAGCTGTCGGCGCTGCAGAAGCCCTCCCTCCCCACCCCGCCTCACCCTCCCGCTGGAGCGGCCGCGGCCTCCCCTCCCCGCTCCAGCGGTTTCCAGGTGTGAGCTGTCGAGGAGCAGCCCCAGCCTTGAGTCTGGCCAAGGTGATTAAACAGCTCAGCTTCTCTCACGGCCTTGGAGTATCATTGCTTTCCTGCCCGTGCCCGTGCGCCCCCCACGGCTCTCCAGACCTCCGCTCTGCCCCCACCCCATCCACTCCAAGCCCTCGGAGAACCCTCTGTCTCAATGGCACCCTAAGAACCACCTCCAGTTTGCTGGGGTTTAAACCAAAGACACTCTCTGCGGGTCAGAAGGCTCTTAACAAGCAGCAAGGGACCCCTTCCCCAGCACAAAACTCATTTTCCTTTTCTGAGGTACTGGGGATGAACCCAGGCCCTGATGTATGCTAGGCATGGGCTGTACCCCCACCTGGACCCCAAGCGCCCACCCCTGCCTTCACTTAGGAGTGGCTGTATTACTGGCAGTATTACCACCACCCAGCCTCAGCCCACGGGGGAGATGACCGAACCCCAATTTCTATCCCCCCCAGCAGATCCAGGGGAGCTTGTGGGGGAGGGGAGCAAAGGAGTGACAGGTTCCCAAGAGAATGATGTCATCCTGTAAATACACAGAAGCAGGATGATATATTCCAAACCGGGAATTGCTAACAGTATTAAAATATTAATAACAACAAGAACAGGCAGTTTGGCAATTGGAGATTTCAAGTTTATTTGCCTCCCCAGGTTGGAGGTGACCCATAGAGAAGAACTTTATTGTCCATTGTTTACAAACTGTCAGCTTTCCAGGAAGGTCACCTACAGTGTAACGGGCCTGTGCCTTGAGAAGATCCATCAGCAGTGAACACAGAGCCAAGTGCCTGAAGGTCAGGGGCCAGCCCAACCCAGCCCAGGAGGGCCTCCAGACAGGAGATCTGGGAGAGCCAAAAGCCCACAAGATAACTGTCCCTTTCTCTTAAGATGGGCAGACTAAAACAGACTTCACCAGTGAGCCATGGATAAATAGAGCTGTCAGGACTTCAGGGAACAGCATGTCAGCTCGACACAGATGCCTTTTGACCTCAAGTACAGCTATACATCGTCCACCACCACAGTGTGAAGGGACAGTCCCACAGGGAGGAGTGCTGAGGGAATCTGGGCACTCGTAGCGGGCAGACCTGGGGCTGAGGCAGAAGCTATAGTTGAACACTTTAGAGGGATTAATTATAGTATGTGGGGGAGAGAAACTGAGAACCATCACTTCAGTGTATAAACAGCCACCAGTGGAAGTGGTCTTGCAGGACAGACATTTGTGAACAGAAAGGTGAGACAAGATGAAAATCGTCAGTACACACATAGTAGCTAAAATTCCTTCAGGACAAGACTCCGTAAGACAAGGTGCCAAGAGGATAAACAGGGTTAAGAAAGGAGCCTGGGGAAAAGACAGTGAGAGGTGGGTGGAAACGGTCCAGGAAACATAACTGGATGGAGCAGTGAGGGTTGCAAGAAAAGTCAGGGCGCAAAAACACCATCCATGAAGCTGCTGCAAACCAGCAGGGAAAATATGGCCAAATAAAAATGAGTAAGTGATAAACATTTATGTGTACGTGTGTGTGTGTGTGAGACTTGAACTCAGCCTGGGCACTGTGTCCCTTACATTTTTGACTTGAGGCTGGCACTCTACCACTTGAGCCACAGCTCCACTGCCTGCTTTTGGATGGTCAACTGGAAATAAGCATGTCACAGCTTTTCCTCCTTGGGCTAGCTTTGAACCATGGTCCTTGGATCCTGAATAGCTAGGATTACAGGCATGATGAACCACTGGTGCCTGGCCAGTATATCTTTTTGATAATTTCCACATTTAGATTTTTAAGGAATGGAAAAAAAACACATGAAAATGTTTCAGGAGTTGTGGCTCAAGTGGTAGAGCATCAGCCTTGAGAGAAACAGACAAGTCCCTAAGTTTAACCCCTAACCCCCTGTATTGGCACATACACAAAAACCTTCATGGGGCATCTGTAATCCCAATATGCAAAAGGCCAAGGCAGGATTGCAAGTTTGAGACCACCCTGTGCTATGCAGTAAAGATCGGGTCTCATGAAAGAGAAAGAGGGGAGGGGAGAGGAAGGGAGAAAGGAGAGAAGGAAGGGAGTAGGGCAAAGGAAGGAGGGAAAAGAGAAAATGGGACATGAGTTTCAGAAATCTCAGAAAATTTGGGAAATTGGGTGGTGGGGGGGGGGAGGAATCCAAAAATGCAGGGTGTGGAGACAAGTGGCAGGAGACTCCGATTCTATAAAAGGGTTTTCTGAAAGGTCCTGTGCAGGTGGTTCACATTTGTAATCCTAGCTACTTAGGAGATTGAGATTTTAGGATCACTGTTCAAAACTAGCTTGGGCAGAAAAGTCCATGAGACGCTTATCTCCAATTAACCACCAAACGTGGAGCTATGGCTCAAGTGGTAGAATACCAACGTTGAGTGGAAAGAGCTTAGCGGGGAGCTGAAGTCCTGAATTCAAGCTGCAACACTAACACTGACACACACACACACACACACACACGACTTTAGATAAGAATAATACTTTAGATAAGGATAATAAAACTTTAGATAAGGATAATAGTGAACATTAAAGAAAAATGTTCCATCCACGGCCAAGACTATCCAAGAGTGAAGTCTGAGTCCAGACGGCGGGGAGGCTAGTAGGATTCAGGGGAGACAAGCCTTGAGGTCGGTTATTAAAACTGGAAGAACAGTGACTGACAAAGTGATCGGGGGACAGAGACAGTGTCCAAGTACCTGGGGAGGCAGCGCGGGAGACCCGCGCCTCGGTGTCCGAGCAGTGTCACGGGTCACCCCAGGGGGTGGAGGCCCCCCGTCCTCCCCCCCCCCCCGCGTCCATCCATCTTCACGCGCGCCCCGCGTGGCCCCCGCCCGCCGCCAGGGGGCGCGCCTGCACCGCGGCTGGCCGCGGACCGCCTGGGATCTCTGGCAGCCCGGGGCGGACGTGGAGAACCCGCCACTCCCCCGGCCCGAGCCTCGGGAACTGTGATTGACACCCCCAAAATCAGATCTTACCCTGAACAGCGAGAAACGTCAATTCACACGCAGCGCGGGTCCGAACGCCTCGGCGCTCCCCCAGCTCTTCCACCAAACACCTTCCTGCTCCCAGGTTCCCGGTCCTCACCAGTGAAGAACGACGTGTGCACTGGAGACGTCTGAAAGGGTTTAAAGAGCCCCCCGCCCCCCATGAAGAAGCCTCGGTTTAAAATGTGGCGCGCCCGGATTTCCGAAGCGTTGCCCCCAGCGCCCACCGAGGTTGGCCCGCGCGCTCCGAGCCCCCGCCGCCCCCGGCGCGGAGCCTGTGAGCCGGCCCTTTGTCACCGAGCCCCCAGTCCCCGAAGGCCCGGTAGCTCGGCCCATTGTGAAGGGTAGTGACGCCCCCCAGAGTTCCGATTTCACCCCGGCGGTGGTTGCGTCCCGAGCCTTTCTGACGCGTGAGTCGCAATCCCCTCCTCTGGCCGTGATTGGCTGGCCGGGGCTAGGGGCGGGCTGACCTCCGCTCCGCAGCGGCTTCACCCGCAGGCCCCGCCCCTTTGGTGGGCTGTCACTTGTATGCGGCCTCCGGATTGGTTATCCGGCTCCCGCGAGGGGGAGGTGAAAGCGGCTGCGCGCACTCGCGCGTGCGTGAGCTGGCGCGCGAGGAAAGGCCCGGTCGCGCCGAGGCTCGAGCGGCGGTCGCCATTTTGTAAGGTTCTCTCTGACGCGGGAGCCGCCGCCACCGCCGCCGCCATCCGGAGGTACGAGAGGGTCTTGGGGAGATGTGGGGGGCCCGGGGTGGGCCAGGCCGGGGCTCTCGCGGAAGGGAACGGCCCGGGTTTGGGGTTCTCACCTTGCCGCGGAAGGTCCGGGGAAGACAACGAGGGGAGGCGGGGCCGGGGGCCCGGAGGGGGCGGGGCGGGGGTCGGGCCGAGCCTTTGTTGGGGTGCGGAGGCTGGAGGTTGAGCGGCCGGCTCGGGGGTCCTGGGGTCGGGGGAAGAGACCCTCTTATTCGCGAGAGTGTCTCGGGAGGTGATGCCACACGATGGGAAGGTACAGATTTCCCTCCAAAACCTTGTCACCGGGGACACCGGTGCCGCCAAGCCTCTCCACTTGGGGTTTTTCTTTATCCTTCTTGTTGTAGAGCCTGAAGCCGCTAACCCCGTGACTTGAGTGCGCCCCGTGTCACCGAGACGGGGGACCGGGCTGTGCACTGATTTCCCCCACCCCACCCTGACCTACTGGTTTGCATGTCATCCACATTTTGCTTTACTTAAGAACAGGCTGCTTCCTTCCTCTGTTAAGAATAATGAACGTCTGTAAAGGTCTCGGAGGTGCCCACAACTTCAGAGTATGAAAGCGACGTGACCGCAGCTGCCATCGAATTCCTCAGCCTACACCTGATTTTTGAAATCTTTTGTTTTCTCTCAGGCTCTTGTCAGGATGGTGAAGCTGTTCATCGGAAACCTGCCCCGCGAGGCCACAGAGCAGGAGATCCGCTCACTCTTCGAGCAGTATGGGAAGGTGCTGGAATGTGACATCATTAAGAATTACGGCTTCGTGCACATAGAGGACAAGACGGCGGCCGAGGATGCCATCCGAAACCTGCACCACTACAAGCTTCATGGGGTGAACATCAATGTGGAAGCCAGCAAGAATAAGAGCAAAGCTTCAACCAAGTTACACGTGGGCAACATCAGTCCCACTTGTACCAACCAAGAGCTTCGGGCCAAGTTTGAGGAGTATGGTCCAGTCATCGAATGTGACATCGTGAAAGATTACGCTTTTGTCCACATGGAGCGGGCCGAGGATGCAGTGGAGGCCATCAGGGGCCTGGACAACACAGAGTTCCAAGGTGAACTGCTCTGGGTTCTGGGGGTGGGGGAACAGAGCTGAGGCAAGAGCACAAGACCAGTAGGGCTAGGTGATCTGTTCTCTTAGCTATTTGCTCTTATGCGTAATTTACACTTGGAGAAGCAAACACTTCCCTCTTTCAGGTTTGCTGAGATGATGTTCTACAACCGGGTAGGATTGCAAATTGTAGGTTACTGTATGCAATGATGTTCATTCATTTGAGTGCTATATGAAATCTAGTCTCTCTGGGCAAATGAGTACCTCATGGTAGAAGGAAGGGTAAAGGCTTATCAGCTTTGCTGTGGTCAAGAAACCTTTTATTTAAGAGATTGAACACTTGGGTAATGGTGAGAAAAACAAGGTGTCTACAGGAAACCTTGTGTTGGAAGGCTGGGCAGTGATTGGGTTTGAGGTGGGAGTGGGGGAGCTTCAGTCTGGATTATACAAGCAGAGCCAAAAATATATCATGGTCTATTAGTTCCACCAAACATTATTTAATCATGGGTGGCGAAAGGGGTAGGCAAATTTTTAGAAATTTAAGGTTGAATGGAAATGATGTTGTTGCTTCTGAAGCAGTTCCAGTGAGGGCTTCTTAGAGCATATCATACTGCTTATATTGAAAATAAAGGTACACAAGCTGTCATTAAGGGGTTTGAAAGCTCTAGAATTGTGCTAATATAGTAATCATTGCAAATGTAGTACATTTACGTTAACTGAAATTAAATGGTATTTAAAATTCCTTTTTCACTTGTTCACAAGGGTAATGGCTACTGCATTAGCACATGTGAGACATTTCCATCATCATAGAAAGTTCTGCTGGATAGTGCTGTTCTGCAAGGTTTCATCAACAATGTCAGATCAGACCACACATTCACAGCCATTTTCCTTTTTCCAAAGTCAACACACTCTTTGTCCCAAATGCCACTGAAAGAGGTGTGAGGAAGTACTGGAAAGTCCTTGGCTAAACCTAGAAAAGAGAATGAAAAGACCAAGGGGAGAAAAGGGTAAAAAAAAAGTGTGCAAATAGCTGATATTTGTGAGGGAACACTAGAGTACTTCTGGCCTCAACCAGTGATTTCCTGAACTGAAGTTACTCTTCAAAGCATGGGGCCAAACTGCAGGTACTTGTCATTTACCAGTCATTTTCCTTTCCTTCCCTCCCTCCTTCCCACCCTTCCTTCCTTCCTTCCTTCCTTGGGCTTGAACTTAGGGCCTGGGCACTGTCCCTGAGCTTTATTTCCTCAAGACTAGTGCTCTACCACTTCAGCCTCAGTTCCACTTGTGGCTTTTGTGGTGTTTAATTGGAGATAAGAGTCTCATGGACTTTCCTGCCTGGGCTGGCTTTGAACCGGGATCCTCAGATCTCAGCCTCCTGAGTAGCTAGGATTACAGGGGTGAGCCACCAATGCCTGGCTTCTGCACTTACAGAGTTGGGGCTAGGAATGTGACTTAGTGGTAGAGTGCTTGACTAGCATGCATGAAGCCCTGGGTTAAATTCCTCAGTAACACATGAACAGAAAAGACTGGAAGTGGTGCTGTGGCTCAAGTGGTAGAAGCGCTAGCCTTAAGCACAGAAAGGCTCAGGGACAGAGCCCAGGCCCTGGGTTAAAACTCCAGGACCAGCCAAAATAAATAAGAGTTGATGATCTCTTCCATACTTCCCTCCCAGACCCCTAGCAAGACTAGAATATAGCAGCAAATGTGAAATGTTGGTGCTGCTCACAACTATGTTAGAAAGTTGATTAAGATGGAAAAGCTTTCCTAATTTTTCATGCTAACTTTTTTTTTTTATTATTTTGGAATGCTGGTGCATTTCAGCTTTAAAAGTATTTTTAATTCTTTTCATTTGCTGTGAATGGATGATGGTGGACAGTGGGGAGTGAAGGAGGTCCCCTCTCCCTAGGTGTTAAGCAAAATGTTCTTTTACTCAGCCCCCAACCTCTGGTTCTGAAGGAGGCTTCTCACTTGTCAGATAACAAGCAAAACGTAAACCGATGTAAAATCCAGGTACAAACACTTCATATGTATTCTAGTACAATACTACATATCTTTTTATTTTTTGTAAGACAGATGCTTATTTACATTTTATTAGCATCAATTAGTTGTACAAGGAAGTTTCATTTTGACATGTGCCTTTATGTACACAGTGTACCTTTGATTAGACTCACACACACATCCATCCCCGCTCTTAAAAAAAAGTAATAAGAGGAAAGAGGGAAGATTGTATTAGGGAAGCTGAGAATTGGCTTAGGATGAGCATGTGTTTGGCTTTGTTTGCCTTATTTTTGGTGCTGAAAACCGAACTGAGTCCCTTGTGCATGCTAAATAGCACTCCATCATAGAGTTACACCCCCAGTCCTAAGTATGTGTCTTAATAAAGCAGGTATAACGGGGAAGGTGGCTCAGTGGTAGAGCGCTTGCCTTGCATGCATGAGGCCCTGGGTTCCATTCCCCAGCACCACATAAGCAAAAAGAAAAAAGCCGGAAGTGGTGCTGTGGCTCAAGTGGCTCTTCAGCCTTGAGCTGAAGAGCTGAGGGACAGTGCTCAGGCCCAGAGTTCAGGCCCCACAACCTGACCAAAAACAATAAAGCAGGTATAATTACTTTAGGAAGTGGATATCTGAATAATGAATGGAACCATGAGGTTTTTTTTTTTTTTTTTTTAGTGTTTTCACTTTCTTAGAAAGTATAAATGATAAACTGAATTAGGAAGAAAATGTGTTTGGTTTTCGGATTCTCTGCCTGACTCCTCTAATTCTGGGTTATAAAACAGACATTTTTGTGGCCATCTTTTTCTCCAGGTGATAAGTAAGCTTAGTATTGTAATATAAAGTTAGTTACTTTTGTTGTATTCTTTTTTTTTTTTTTTTTGGTCAGTCATGGGGCTTGAACTATGGGCCTGGGCGCTGTCCCTGAGCTCTTCAGCTCAAGGCGAGTGCTCTACTGCTTGAGCCACAGAGCCACTTTTGGGTTTCTGGTGGTTTATTGGAGATAGGAGTCTCATGGACTTTCCTGCCTGAGCTGGCTTTGAACCGCAATCCTCAGCCTCCTGAGTGCCACCGGCACCTGGTGCTTTTTGTTTTTTAAGACATGGTCTCCCTCTAGTCCAGGCTGGCTTCCTACTAGAGGTCCTCTTGCCTCAGAGTACTGGGGTTAGAGCAAGGGCCATCGCACCTGGCTTATGTTTTTCAGTTTAAAGCTTTTTCAAATCATCTAATGAAGGTAGCCCCTAAAAAGTGCCACTTTGAGCTGATGGCTCACCTGTAATACTAGCTACTTGGAAGCTAGGAATGGAAGAATCATGGTTTGAAGCCAACCTAGGCAGAAAAATTTGAGATCCTTTCTCAACCAAGAGCTGGGTCCAGTAGCATAACTACAGGAGGAAGGTTAAAACAGGTAGATCAGAAGCCAGGGTGTGCCTGGGCTGGAAATCCCAGAAATTACCACTAAGAAGCATTTGGAGGTATCCTCGGCTCAGTGATGAATGCCTACTGAGGCCTGAGTCAGCCTCCCCCCTTACCCCTCCCCCCTCGCCCCCCCCCCAGCACTATCTTATTCTATGTTAATGACTGCCATTTCTAAAAGGAAGTTGTAGACTCTCAGTTTACATGTTTCTCAAAATGGTTTCTTTCTACAAGCATCAGTGAACAGTTTTCATAGGAACTAGCAAGGAAAGTAACCATTCCTGCTGCTGAAAGGGGAAGTGTGTGTAGTGGTGTCTTGGTCAGGATGAAGTCAGAAGGACTATTACATATTAACTACATCTCTACCCATCTGTGCATTCTGGCACGTGTAGCTCAGAAATTAGGACCCTGAGCTTTCCACATCTCAGCATTTTAATACTCTCTTCTACTCTCACTCCCAAGAGTAAACAATTTTATTGGTCTGGTTTTCTGGAGAGTATTAAGAGTTCAGTAACTTGTAGGTGTCAGAAAATCTTTCTTTTTTTGTGTGGTAAAATCGTCAGTTTTCTTTGACCTGGTTCCTAAAAGTAATAGAGAAGCATAGTACAACTATACAGAGATAGATTTTGCTGTAGGTCCTTACAAACTTGAGTAAAGAAAGGCAAGAATTGAGATTGGATTTCATATTTAAAATATCAAAGTAAAATTACTAGATTTGTTTTTCTAAACTCTAAAGAAAGTATTGAGCAAACTCAATGAATTATTTTTCCTTACAGATGATTTCTAGGTCTCTGGAATGGCTGGCTTTTGGATTGTCATGGTTTCTCTGACTTCAGAATTAGAGTAGTTTGTGGCTCATGTAGCTTAATCTCACTTGTATGTTTGAAAGCCACCATTTTCTAGTCTGAATTATAGAGAGCTCTATTATATAGAAATAGGCAGAAATCTGTTTCTCTTCTAAACATTATGGTCCTTAATAACATTGGAGGATTAGATTAGGAATATTTAATAACACTGAAGGATTAGATTAGGAATATTTAAATCTGAAAGTAATGGTAGGTTGGGTGATTCAGTACCTCCTTCATTTGGTATCTTTTTTTTTTTTTTTTTTGGTGGTACTAGGGTTTGGACTCAATGCCTCATGATTGCCAGGTAGGTACTCCATCCCTTGAGTCATTCTGCCAGCCCTTTTTGTGTTGGTTAGTTTTTGGTAGTCTTTGTGTTTAGGCCCGCCTGAACCTCAGTTCTGTTTGTGCTGTTAGAGCAACAAGTACTGGAAAGTGAGGGGGCCTTACGACATTGACTACATTGGTAGAGCATACTAACTTGCTCCCTCTCAAGTTCCATACAGGCACTATTGTGGCTGCTGTCCTGAATCCCAAAAGGATGATTGGAGCACAAGGCTTCCTGTCAACCTACCTGCATACAGGGCAAGTTTTGTTTAAGAGAGCGACTTGCCGGTGCAGATGGGGATTTGTCCCTAGTAGCCCTTGTGTGACATGAAGCCCTGCCCTCTGTGCTCACTGCCTTTGGCTCCAATTTGAAAAACTTCTACTTGATCTCCAAACTGCTGAGATACTACTTTTCTTAAACTGCTCTTAAAGACCAATGCTTTCATCAATAAGGGTTGAAATTCCCAAGTTTGGTGGTACACAAGCCCCAGAAGCAATTCTTCAATGCCTGTCATTTCCTGGAAGCATGGACAAGGCTTGTTAGAATGAGTGAGATTTTTAGGTAATTGCATTTTTCTAACAAGTGGAGAATCCATGTAAGAAATTATAAGCTATGTAGCAGGATGAATTGCTGATCACTCCACTATATACAAACATTTTGTCCTTAAAAAGCTGGTAGGGTTTGTTTTTTGTCTGTTTTGTTTTATGCTGGTCCTGGGGCTTGAACCAAGGGCACTGTCTCTGAGCTTTAGTGCTCACGACACTTGAGCTATAGCTCCATTTCGGACTTTTTGGTGGTGAATTGTAGATGAGTCTCACAGACTTTCCTGTGATCCTCAGATCTCAGGCTTCTGCGTAGCCTGGGATTACAGGCATTAGCCAACAGTGCCTGACTTCTGTTACTGGGTTTTTTTGTTTGGGGTGGTTGTGGGGCTTGAACTCGAGGCCTGGGTGCTTTTGTTTTGCTCAGAGCTAGCACTCTATCACTTTGAGCCACAGCTCCACTTCCAGTGGTTAATTAAAGAGTCTCAAGGGGATTTTTCTGCTCAGGCTGGCTTTGAACTGTGATCCTCAGATAGCCTCCTGAGTAGCTAGGATTACAGGCATGAGCCACCAGTGCCCAGCTGCTAGTACTGTTTTAAAATCTTAATTCGTAAGTAAGTAAGTAAGTAAATAAATAAATATATATAATTGTTGAAAGCAGTTGGTCCAATAATCTTCTGCAGTAGAATGGACTAAGACAAAGGTGGCGGGGTGTGTGTGTGTGTGTGTGTGTGTGTGTGTGTGTGTGTGTGTGTGTGTGTGTGTGCTGAAATCTTGAGGGTCTTAAAAAACCCCACAGGTAGAGAGATGAATCAAGTCAAGTATGGCTTAGGTGCACAATACAGCCTCTGGTGATAACCAGCTCAAATTGCTGGAGGAAACAAGATAGCAGAAGATTGCTGTTATTGAAATTTTAATTCTTTTTGCAATGCTGAGTCCTGAATCCAGGATACTGAGTACTGAATGCCATCTAATAAGCATGTGCTATTAGCACTGGGCTATATCCTGCAGGACTTTGCTCTGGTTTGTGGGTGCTTAGGAAATACAGGAAATGTCCAGGTGGGAAACATGGCTTCCAAATGTGGCCTAACTGAAGTTCTGCTAGATAAATGGAGTATTGGTGGGCCTTAACTGCTAAACTAGTAACAGGCACAGAGGGAAGTTTTTCGCTTTCTGTGTCCGAAGAGCCGTGGAGACCAGCGGGAGGGAGTGTGGTGTGGCCGAGGGGACTCGTTTCCTCTATCACCTCTACTGGTTTTGGGAGAGGATTGCTGAGTGAAGTCACAGGAATGTATGCGTTGCGTGTGTTTCTTCTGTTTGCTTTCATCGGGGAGGATAAAAAATACCACCGAGATATAATAAATTATCACAATCTATTTCCTCAAGGCAAAAGAATGCACGTGCAGTTGTCCACCAGCCGGCTTCGGACTGCTCCTGGGATGGGGGACCAGAGCGGCTGTTACCGGTGCGGGAAAGAGGGGCACTGGTCCAAAGAGTGTCCGGTGGACCGCACGGGGCGCGTGGCAGACTTTACGGAGCAGTACAATGAACAGTACGGCGCGGTGCGCACGCCCTACACCATGGGCTACGGGGAGTCCGTGTACTACAACGACGCCTACGGCGCCCTCGACTACTACAAGCGCTACCGCGTGCGCTCCTACGAGGCCGTGGCGGCTGCGGCGGCCGCCTCCGCCTACAACTACGCAGAGCAGTCCATGTCCCACCTGCCCCAAGTCCAGAGCTCGGCCGTGACCAACCACCTCAACTCCACCTCGGTGGATCCCTACGACAGACACCTATTGCAGAACTCGGGGGCGGCCGCCACCTCAGCCGCCATGGCCGCCTCCTCTTCGTCTTACTACGGAAGGGACAGGAGCCCGCTGCGCCGCTCGGCAGCCGCGCTCCCGGCAGTCGGCGAGGGCTACGGGTATGGGCCAGAGAGCGAGCTGTCTCAGGCCTCCGCAGCTGCACGGAATTCTCTGTATGACATGGCCCGGTATGAGCGAGAGCAGTATGTGGACCGAACACGGTACTCAGCCTTTTAAAAACTGGAGGTGAGAGTGGGGTGGGCGTAGTTAAGATTGCACCTAGTTCCCTTGCAAGAGAACTTTTCTTCATCGAGGAGGCTCCAGCCACTTGTTTGCTGTCAGAACTGTACCCAAAAACTAGTTTTGCATATTTCTGCAGCTTAGGCCTGTTACACGGGTTTGTTTGGCCTTGTTGGGGTTTTAGTGCTTGGCCCAGTTCGTTAGTGTGAACATTCTTTAATCAGTTGTTTAAGCAGATTTGGGGCACGGGATACATTTGAGGGAACTAGTAGTTGTCAGGTACCCGTGGTGCATACTGTCATCTAGACAATAAGGATTTTGGCCGACAGACAAGACCCGGGGCTCAGAGACATTCAGTACTTTGTCCTAAGTCATTGGGTAAATGAGAGGTAGAGCCCAAATTCAAACTCAGACCAAGCTAAAACTCATGTTCTTTCCACTGTGAAGGTCACTGTAGTCTTAAGCAGAAAGGAACTACTGATGCTATCACAGGAAGAATGTTAACTAATTTTAGGCATCCAGTTTAAAACTGTTTCTTGGGTCATTAAGACTTCATCAAAGTATCCTATCTGCAAGCTAGATCAAGTCCTATAAAGGTTTCATTCTGTGATGCTTGCTTCAGTGCCAAACATTCCGATGCTGTCCTGTGTAGTCCTTTTCCTCACTCAGATCCTAAACCTCTGTAAGCCCTCTCTCTGAAGCCTGTGCTACGTGTCCCATTTCCTTCTGCAGTTGTTTTTGTAGAGAATACTTAAGGAATTAGATAAACTGGTAATTTTCTGACATGCAAAAAAAAATCCCATAGGTAGGAACTGAAATTTTAATGTTTCCTTTGAAATATGTACCAAAGGTATTAGAATGGCAAGAATAAGTAGGAGTGTGTAGAGATGGGCCAAATCATCAAAATGCATATGGCAGCATGACAACTTTATATACTCATGGTTTTCTTTGTACTTTGAAATTGAGCATCCCTTCGAAGCCACTGAGCTTCCAGATTCCTAACTTACCTCCTCCCCTCTCTTGATGTATGTGTGTACAAGAAAACAAAGTTACAGCAACTTGCTCTTTGTAAAGTGAGAAGCAAATGTGACCCGAACGTTGATAAATTATATGTCCTACATGATTACATTAGTAAGACTTGGGATTTCCTGAGACCGTGTGCAGCACTGTGTCCATCTTAGAACCTGTGGAGTTTGCTGTTAATTTTCACAGTTGGATCTACCATGAGATACCTATGAAGTAAGTTGCTATCAACTTGTCATATAACTTATTTCTATCGTTACATTTTTAGTTAAGTATGTTATGGTTTTTAATGAGTATTGTCAGGGCATTTTAAAATTGAATTTTAACTTGAAGCAGTGGCTATTCAACTAACCTCATTTTAGTGATGACTTTCAAAGAAACTTACCTTCCAGGTGTGAACCTCAGATGGACTGAATAACCCTGAGTTGGTTGCAGTCCCAGGAGCCTGATGTTAATGAGGCTGCCAGAATGAAATACTCCAGAACTGTTGGGGATCCAAATTTGGGTCTCACCCTAGCAGAACTGATCCAAGAACATCACAACTTTTGAAGTGGATTGGCAAAGATCAAGACCAAGATTTGGCTCTTTGTGTGTAATAAGTAGAGGAACTTGGTGTGAGTTAACTTTTTTGTTTTTCTCCCTCCCAGCCATTGGTGGAGTTCCTGTCATCAATGGAAGAATTAGAAAAACCTAGCAGTCATTTCTTCTTTTGACTTGGTCAATTAGGGGAACTACTGGCACTATGGATCTACCTCTAATACTGTGACATGTAGTTGTGTGTGTTGTAGATGGACAAACGACAAACCACTTGTGACAAACCCTTTGTGACTATCATTTCAGAAAGTTTATGTGAAAGATTAGAATGATACATTTAGAATAGTGCAGCTGAGCTAGGCCCAGTGGGGTGTAGGTATAGTCATAACTACTTGGAAGGTCAGCTTGAGCTCAAGAATTCATAGCTAAACTGGGCAACATGGTATGGCCGTGTTCTGTCTTTAAAAAGAGCAGGCAGGGTTGCTTACACGACTCTTTGGCTGGGGGTGTGGCTCAAGCACAGGCCCCAAGTTCAAACTCAAAGGAAAAAGCAAATGGAGCAGTTGACTATCTGAGATCTCAGCACCTTCTGCTTTTCCTGAATTCCCAAATTAGCCTGAAATTCTTGATCATGTATGCCTTTTGTTGAAACCTGCTTAAAACATGGGTAAGAAAATGAGAAAGTGGAACTTACCACCACCACAGAAGTCTTCCACTTAGATTGCATATTGTTCTATACATTGCTGTAAGTGGTTCTTATAGATAGCTATTAAGAGTCCTGGGTTAATTTTGTGGGATACATTTGATACAGTCTGACTTGGTTTTGTTTTGTTCTTTGTTTTTCCCCGCCCCCGCTGGAATACAGGACGTGACCAGGGCCCTTGTACACGGAGCCAGGCTGCTGTCCAGGCATTGTGTAAGCCTCTTGTGTTGTGCTCTCTTTCAGGTAGGATAATTGCGGACTGAACCCTCGGGCTGCGGTCATATATGAGAACTTGCTCCGCGCGGTCCCCTTTGCCGGGATGTTTCCATTGCTTCATGTTTCAGTAAACAAAGGAGTTTGTGACCAACTATGTTTTCTTTCTTAATTTAATTCTTCTAAGTTGACTTTTCTTTCCTTCCTGATGCTAGTATCTGTAGCTTTTCACTGTTCCTTATATCCTCAGCCTCTGAACAGCCCTAGGTAAGGATTATGCTGGCATCCCCTTCCTCCATGCAGTGGAGCCCTCTGATCTTGCTTTCCCTAGGAGTTGAGCCCTTCTCCCTGCCTACCTGCAGCATCTCCTTTCCCTTTAAAATGACCATGTAGTGGCAAGCAGCCCTTGCTCTTCTTTGTTAGCTCTGGACTCTAACATGGAAGCTAATCTTTGAAATTGCTAGGACCATTGGGGGTTTTGTTGTTGTTTTGTTTGTTTTGTTTTTTGTCTTACCTGTGATCGTGATACAGCATTAGCTGAAATTTAGCCTTGTTTTACTCCACTCCTCCCATTTTTTTATTTTTTGACAAATAAACGTTTCTAACACTTAATCTTTCGTGTGACTATTATTTACATTGCGATGCTTTTCCAGTTGTGCTCAGCTACGAAGACTCAAGTGAATGAATGTCTAAAATTCAGAAGTAGAAGTGAGGTTAGTTAGTGGTGCCTTCAGAAACAGGGAATAGGTTAGCTGAGAATGTCGCTAAAGTGATAGCGAGTGTAATGACGCAGTCCAAATCTTGAGCCACCAATAAATAAGGTGCAGCTTGTAGTCAAGCTCTTTCTAAATCACTAGAAGAGTACTAACAAACCTAGAGCGTTAATGGTAGAAGTCCTGCAGAGGACCACATGAAAAGGGTGAGGTAGGTCACCAATGACCTATCCAGTGACTTGATTGGATTTGGGCTGGTTGGACCAATAAAAAAAAAATGTTTCAACCAAGCATAGTGGTACACATTTGTAATCCCAGCACTTGAGAGAATGAGATAGGATTTTGAGTTTAACACTAGGCAAGTTACACGTGAAATTAGTGTGATATGTTAGGCTTCCCTAATCACGTCGGCAGAACTGATACTTTTTTAATCTTTTTTTTACTTTTTATTTTTTTTTGCCATTCCTGGGGCTTGAACTCAGGGCTTGGGTGCTGTCCCTAAGCTGCTTTTGCTCAAGGCTAGCACTCTACCACTTGACCCAAATTATTAGTTCCAGCTTTTTCTGTTTATGTGGTGTTGAGGAATGGAACCCAGGGCTTCGTGCATGCTAGGTGGTAAGCACTCTACCATTGAGTTATCTTCCTAGCCCGATATTTTGTCTTAAAGGAAGAAAAAAAAAATCATAGATGGGCTGGAGCGAGTAAGTGTTACACAGGAACAGTCTGAAGAGAGGTGTTTAAAGCTGTAAGTGATTGATTTTCCTGAATAGTGTGTCTTGCTATTTTAACTGGGCCAACCTGTGACCACAATCCTATCTTATATGCCTCCAGGTGTGGCTGGTTGGTCCCTGGTGCACACCATCACAGCTAGCCAACTTTTTGCCAGGTTGACCTCCCAAATAACTGGTTGCCTGTGTGAGCTAGCAAGTTCCATTTCCTGGAAAATGTTATAGGATGGGTGGTTAGGAAGACAGGTTAGAACTGCATCACCACCACCTACTAACACTCAGATTTTAAAACATTTCACAGCTGTAACAAAAATGTGGCATAAATAATTGCCATGAGAAATACAAAACCATTACCATTATTGGTAAGTCTTAAGATTTAAACTTGAAGCTGGGCGCTGGTGGCTCACACTTGTAATCCTAGCTACTCAAGAGGCTGAGATCTGAGAATCACCGTTCAAAGCCAGCCCAGGCAGGGAAGTCTGTGACCCAGGCGCTGAGTTTAAGCCCCATGACCAATAACAAGATTTAAATTTGAAAATATTTCTCTCCAATAGAACCACACTTAGCAGTAGCAGAGAAACAAGAAGTGGACATAGAGATGCTCTAGCTCATTTTGGTGGGGTAGGGAAAACACTACCCTAGCTAAGCCTTTGAGCATGAACTCTTGATTAGTTGGCAATTTGGAGGAGGTTTACAAGCACCTACCCACGCAAGGTCCCACCACAGCAGCAGTATTCTGTGGAGTACTTAGAAGTAGAGGGGGAAAAAAAACACAACCAGGTTTAAGTATTACTGCCTGGGAGAAAAGCACCTGTATTCCTGGTGTGGGAACTTCCAGAGCAGAGCATCTTTCCAGGTGATGGGAGAACACTTGGAATTCCTTCGCCTCAGCTCTGCCCGGCAAAGCTCCTGACCTCCCCCTGATTCCACTCTGATTTCCAGTCATATAGAGAAGTGAGGCACAGGGAAAAAAAATACTAGATAGACCCTGTGGATACTTAAGTGTGTGACAAGGAGCTTATCCTTAGCTACCTGCAAGATGGCCAGAGAAAGGAAGCAGTTTGCCCGAGATTGGCTTTAAAGCTAGTCAGGATGACGAGGTTGGGGAGAAGAGCGGGAGAAACAGCTGTCATATTGGTCAAGAATCAGTGTAAAGGTTTTCTTGAGTGACAGCAGGGCTGTGCTCCACTGCCAAGGAGAACTAAGATGCAGGATGGCATGATCAGCTCCAGGAACCCATAGGGAAAGATAAATTCTAAGAATAGTGCCTGAGGTTTGCAGGCCAAATACAAACCACACATTCACCCTCTGCTAATTCACAAGAACCCAGTGAGGAACATGGTTGGCTTTCCTATTAAAGTAATAGGCTTAAGAAGGTTAAATGATCTGTCCCTTCTTGGAGAAAGAGAGGGAGGGGAGGGGAGGGGCCCGGCAAGCCATGTTTACATTTATGGAGAATCTCAGGTGCGGGGGAACTGCAGTAGAGCTGAGGGAGAACTGGCAGTGCTCTAGCTCTGACCTTAGGGATCACGACACATCAAAGCCACAGTCCTCCTCAGGGTTGAAACACATCCACATTCCTGCTTACGAGACAAACACACGGGGACACACACACACACACACACACACAGGCTTGAACTCAGGAACTGGCACTTTTCACGGGCTTGAACTCAGGAACTGGCACTTTTTTGGGCGGGGCGGGGGGGTCGGGTCGTGGGGCCTGAACTCTGGGCCTGGGCACTGTCCCTCGGCTCTTCAGCTCAAGGCTAGCCCTCTACCACTTGAGCCACAGCGCCACTTCTGGCTTTTCTCTTTTTGCTTATGTGGTGCTGAGGAATCGAACCCAGGGCCTCATGCATGCAAGGCAAGCGCTCTACCACTGAGCCATCTTCCCAGCCCAGAACTGGCACACTTGCTTGGCTTTTTCACAGGCTCTATCACTTGAACCATTAGTTGGTTAATTGGAGGTAAGTCTCATGGACTTTTTTTTAACCCAGATTGGCTTCAAACCATGATCTTACCTCACCCTTCTGAGTAGGCATGACCCACTGGCACATCATTCACATGGTGATTTATATCTGCATATTTATTGATACCTGTTCCAGGGATCACTCCCAGATTTTGTCCCCCTTATAATCTTGTGAATAGTCAATAAATCATCAAGCAAAAAAGTGAGATAAGAACTACAAAATAGGGGCTGGGAAGGTGGCTCAGTGGTAGAGCATGCCTGAGGCCCTGGGTTCAATTCCTCAGCACCACATAAGCAAAAAGAAAAAAGCCGGAAGTGGCGCTGTGGCTCAAGTGGTAGAGCGCTAGCCTTGAGCTGAAGAGCTGAGGGACAGCGCCCAGGCCCAGAGTTCAGGCCCCACAACCGGACCCCGCCCCCCCCCCAAAAAAAAAAGAACTACAAAATAAACTAGATACAATGGCATCCTTCAGGCTTTGCTGAATGTTCTAGAAGGGGTGCAGATGGAAAAGGAAAATCACTAGTAGTTGAAAAGCATTATGTTCAGGGAGAATATTGAAAGGGCCAAGGGAGCACTGGAGAACTCCAGCCTTACATCTGCCTTAGATTGTGTGCTTGCCGAATCCAAACTCCAAGGGAACAAACACTCTGGTTCAATTTTAATTTCCTTTCTGCTTAGTTGTTGGCCTGTCCCCCAGGATGGAACAAAAGGCCTTGCACATGCTAGATAAGAGTTAACAAGTGAGCAACATTCCCAACTGGTTCTATTTTTCTAAGACAGTGGTGGGTCCTAAGAAAATGAAGAGGGAAGGAGAGGCATTATGTGGAAACTAGAGTCTTAGCTTCTCACACATTTTAAAACACCTCAACTATTTGTGAATTGCCACATTAAGAGCTCTTCCCATCATTTTTCATCTTGTTTTGTCTCTTGATCCCTTCCTCCCAACTCTGACTGAGGACCACTGTCTAGAAAGAACTCCTACAGTTATCTAAAGAACTGGGGATTAACCCAGTCTAGGGACAGACTTAAACTAGATGCCTCTAAACTAGATGCATAGCTTGCTAAAGCACTTAGGAGGAAGTTTGGGTCTGGGCTTGGAAATCCTCAGAATCTAGCTAATGCAGAAAAACAAGGGAATTAGCTGGGCACTGATGGCTCCTGCCTATAATCCTAGTTACTCAGGAGGATTATGACTGGAAGCCAGCCCAGGTAAGAAAGGCTAAGATTACCTCTAATTAGCTAGCAAAAAGCCAGAAATGGAGCTGTGGTGCAAGTGGTAGAGCATTAACCTTGAACAAAAAAAGCAGAGTGACAAGTGTCCAGATCCTGAGTTGAAGCCCCAGGACTGGCACCCCCCCCCTAAAAAAAAATTCTGGCTGCTAGTATGAAGTTATGTGATGTCAGAAGCAGGGAAATAAGTTAGCAAAGCATCTTGGAATCCAGTGGTGGTAGCTCTAAATGGGAAGTGAACAGTGAAGGTGGAACTCTACTTTACCTTAACAGATTTCCTCATGGATTAGATAGGAAGCCCAATTTTTTGGCCGGAGTAAGTGAAAAAGATGGAATTTATAAGATTATGGAAAGACAAAAAAAAGGATATAGAGTAGAGGGAAGATCAGAAGTTCAGTTGTTTGTGATTTTAGTACTGGGATTTGAACTCAGGACCTTAGCACTTGCTTTGCAGGCACACCACCAGTTGAATTATGCTTCCAATCCAGAAATTCAGGAAATAACACTTAAGAAATGTCAAATGGCTTCCTACCTGTCATATGAGCTGTTCTGCCACTCTGTCCCTACAATGGCCAGAAACCTCAAAGTATATGGAAAAGCAGAACTACTCAAAGTAGCAATCAGTGATTGCATGATAAATCTGAATATTCTTATGCCTGGGGACATCTTATTGGAGAAACTACACCAGCTCTTTGGTACACCTTTGTCCGAACTACAGCCAGTGAATCACACGTGGCTATCACTTCAATCCCTACAATACTGGCTGTATCACACAGGGGTAAGGAATGTCTGGCCCACAGATGACATCTTGTTTAAATACAGTACTGTACCTTAAACCTAGTAAGTATGTAAATATATTAAGAAAAGTGGTTTCTGAACCTTATTCTTGGTAAATTTTTTGTTAAAAGAACTCATTCTTAGCCAGGCACTGGTGGCTCATGCCTGTAATCCTATTTACTCAGGAGGCT